CCCTAGTTTTTTAAACAGATTAAATACAATTTCGATCTTCCCCCTTTGTGTACTTTGGATCACAACCACACTATGTGCAACCGAATTATTTTCAGGCTATTCTATGTACTATACCAGATTTAGCATATTTACGCACTATAGGGCCAGCATTAAGGATAACAGTAAAATCCTAAAAATGTAAAAAAGAAAAGAAAGAGAATCAAAAAGGAAATCCTGCCAAGCGTTATGAATTATAATGCCCATTTTAATTTGATCCACGTAGAGCCTTTTAACGACGAGGTTGATTCTTTACCTTTCTGGTGGAAGCCTTTCCCGCAGAACTCACAAACGAAAGGTTTGTATCCAGCGTGGATCCGTACATGAGTGTTCAGAGTCGAGCTTCTGTTGAACGCCTTGCCACACTGGTTGCATTTATGAGGCTTTTCCTTTAAATGACATTTTAAAGATAAAATAAAACAGTTAAAACAAAATAAAAACAAATGTATGATTTTTAACGCCAGATACAAATCAAAAGAATGCTGTTGGCGTGCGCCGAAGCCCACCTGTGTGTGGATGATCTTGTGCCTGCACAGTGTGCTGGCCTGCCGGAATCCTTTCCCGCATACCTTACAGACGAAGGGTCGGGCCCCGGTGTGCACCGGCATGTGTCTGGTCAGATTGTAGTGCGCGTTAAAAACCTGTGCACAATTGGAAATCACCGAGGATTTTATTCAGAATAATTCTGACAACACAGTATGAGTAAGAGGTCTGGGTAAAGTTATTTAATTTAGATCAGTCAGGATTTCTTTTTTTTAATGTATTTATTTTTGGCGGGTATTCATTTTCCTGGAGGTCATTACTAGATGCTTTTTATTTGCATACATATTCTGAATATAAATGTATTTAACAGAAAACATATATAGGCTATGTATGTCTAGTACACATTTGAAAATCGTACCTTCCCACACACTTCACATGTGAAGTTTTTGGGTTTCCCGTCTGCAACGCTGCTGCCGCTCAGTTTGCTGTGCGTCTTGACGCCGTTCTTCTCCGCGCTTAGGCCGTGATTCTCCTTCACTATCTGGTCCAGCTGCCCCGGCAGATGTTCTTTGTGCGGGTACTGAGGTGTGGGCAGCTTGTCGACCCCCACCCCTGTCAGCTTGGCGTTCTCCAGCAGCAAGAGTCGGTGGTGCGCCGACAAAGAGGCCTGGGCCTGCGGACGCCGAAAAGGAGGCCGGGGCCTGCGGACTGGCGAACCAGTGTCCGGCCAGCAGCTCCGACTGCTGGTAGGCAGAGTCTAGGTAGTTAAGGTAGTAGAGCGAGCCGCCGCTGGGCATGGCCACGGCCTGGTGGATGACCTGCGGTTTTACCACCCTGCTTCCTGACGTCAACAGCGGCGGCTTCAAGCTCGTCTCCGCTTTGCTGCACATTCCGCAGCTCCCTTTGCACGGAGCGGCCGAAGAACCGCAAAAAGTGCCCCTGAAACTGGCTCTCCACAGCTCGGAGTAGTTCATCAGCGCTTTGGCTTGGAGGTCATAGCTTAAGGGCTGCAGTGGAATCATGCAAGGGATCGGGGAGCAGAGCCCCAATAGCTTCTTCCCCTCTGACCGTTCCTCCGTGTTCCCTTTGGACTCCGAGCTCTTGGACATGATCCGGTCTATGGAAAAGGCCAGGGTCTTAGGAGCCGCAGTCGGTCCGGTCCTACCGCAGGACATCACCGTCTCCAGTGAGGCAGAACTTGCCATTTTGTTGTTGTTGCTGCTGTTGTTTCTGCTGCTTTTTTGTTTGCAGCAGAGCAGAACTTAGTGTGAGCAACTCGCGGTATAGTCCGACCCGCTCCTCCAACTGCCCCGCGTCTTTTCACTTTCCTCAGTTCCCAGCAGAAAAGACAGGAGGACACATCAGTTTAATAAGCACCTTGCTGTCACAGTGTCACGCATTTGCATTCAAATGGCCATCCCCCATGCAACAATAGCATCCAGGGGTGATGGATTAATGCTCATTAACTAGTGCACACAAAATTAACAGGACATTACAGAGCTCGTTAGGGAGAAGGAAAAGAAGAGGAGGAGGAGGGTTGAGGACAAAAAGACAAAAATGTTGTAGTCGGAGCTTCTGGTGAATGAAAAAGCATTAAGTTGAGTCGGTATCGGAGTTTACCTCTTTAACGGTCAGATGGGTGTGGAGAAACCAGCCGACTGCTCTCTGTCACATGTTGGCAGCGCCCGCCCTCTTCAGTGCGGATCACTGTCTCCTGACATCAGCGGGCGCCCAACTCCTAACTGGGTTGACAGGGAGACGCCCTCATCAACCTGCACGCTGTCGAAAAATAAAATGAAACTAATTAATAATCTTTAGGGGGCTGCCACAAGCTACCGTGTGTCTCTCCTACATGAGTCTGAAACAATTTCCCTTCAAGGAGATGGCAAGAAGAAAACATTATGATTTTTATTCAGTGAACACACATTGGAGTAGCCCATAAGTCTCCCGCTTTGATTTGGCTAACAACAGAGTAATCTTTTTGTTTTTCAGTTTGGGAATCTCGACTCCCCCCCCAGGAGAAAGCTGTTAATCCTCGGAGATGGATCCCTCCTTTTCCACACCGGCTTATATACTTACTATTTGTATAAATTCGAGGACGTCCAACAGAACGTTCCACCTGTTTAAGAGCAGAGACTCCGTTTGGATCCTATTAAACGTTGTTCCTCCTTCCCACTATTCAAAAGAATCAATTTTCCAGAGCGATTCAAGGCTCAACTCAACACAGGGAGGGAAAAAGGAAAGAAAAAACACAAGCTCTTTCACTTTTAGCCACTAAAGCACTGCGTGAACCTGGTTTTGTGTTTTTTTCTTCGTGAAATAGAGGGACGGATTAAAGGGGGAGAGAGGAAAAAGAAAAGACTTAGCTTGGTCAGAGGTATACAAGGACAAATGAAAAGAGGGCCTTTTTTCTCTAAAGAGGCATACAAGAAGTTTGCTGGAATCCACAGTGTTGTGTGGGAGTTACAATGAGCAGCAGCCTCTAGTCTATTCGCCACAAGGGCCACGTTGAATTCATGTGTTTGCAGGCCATTTTACCTGAGGGACTCCCAGCAAGTTCGAGGGAGAAAAGACAGCATACAGCACGTTCGCCGAGGGGTGGGGGGTGGGGGTAAAAAAAAAAAGGGTAATAAGTGTGAGTAATATTAAATGTACAGTATATTAATATGAATATAGGTGAATAGGTCTGTCATAACATATTTAATTCCATGTAGGATAAAATAAGCTATTATTATTATAAATATTCTCCTATTTCCAAAGTGTGAATTTTGTCACCATCACAAAACAACTTTGAAATATGACTCAGCCTTAGAGCTCACTATACAGCATGTATTTGGGGGTTCCTATAACAATAAAACGACTGGAGAAAAAAAGTCATGGACAATTTCTACAAAGGACAATTTCTAAACAATCTAAATGGAAATGAATGGTTTCATTAATTACTAATAAAACATTTAACTATGTTTTAATATGTGCCATTAGGAGCTGTTGGGTTGCTCAGACTGGCGTTTATCCTGCTTCAGTAGCTTTGTCTGTTTAGCCCTTTATTTAATCAGAAGGCCCTCCAATGGATTGTTAGACCACTGGCCTTCTGAGAAAGGTTTGCAGGACATCTGAACCAAAATGCATTTATCATTAACATTATTACAACAACCAACTGGATGTCTCATTAAAAAGCAAGAAACAGATGAGCATTTATAGCAGTACTGTATTATGACCACATAGAAAAGATCATGCCCTGCCAAACAGATTTTTGACATTCCGGCCACCAATAACTCATTTCTAAAAATGGCTGTTAATTGAACTATAAAACATTCACAAATTATTTAATTACTATTAATAACACCATTATTCACAACATATAACCATCAAGGAAGCCTTATCACAAATATTAGGAACTCTTGTTCACTTTACAGGAACTTTGCAGTTGCACACTTGGTAGCACAACATGGGTGTAAACATGCACACATTTGTAGGTCCAGGAGAACAGAAGAGAATATATAAAGTCAGTATCTATTGATATATGTCATGATTTTGTCTGTTTTATTCGTAAAAGTTGTTGCTGTTTGTTTTTAGCCCGTATAAATATGGGTGAATTGATTATGAAACACAATGCAGTGATTCAAACACAGATGCATTTAGTATCGACAGTTATTGGGAACTGTATAATTTTACTGATACTTCTTTGTTGCTGGTATTACAAAGTTCTGAATGCTCAACAAAAAAAACACTGATGGGTGAATGTGATGATGTGCCCCAGGCCCTATAGACCTAGTACCATACTTAGCACAGTATGCTGCCATCCTATAACACTAGTTTTCCTGTTAATAACCTTAAAAAACATCCCTATTCTCTTTTGTTTTACACCTGCATGTCAGCATGGAAGGATTAATACCCATTGTCTTGTTGCTACTCATATGTAAATAGGGCAAAATACTCTAATTTGAGTTTATTCAGGCACAATTGGCAGCTCATCCACTCAATAAACATTGATCCTATTGCTGTAACCCAGGCCCCTCTATTCATCTGTAACAGCAATTAGTGCAAGCATTGATTTAAGCAACTCTTGCTTCTTGCCTGTAGGCATGTGAGGGTCACAAGTATTGAGTCCAAGTCGGTACCAAGTCAGTGGCAAGCAAAGTATGTTAATACTGCACACAAATCATTCTATTGTTCTTGTCTATATTGAATACATTACCTTACAGTGCCTTAATGATTAGAAAGTCAAGATCAGAATCTTGTCTTAAGTCAGTTACAGAGAACCAAAACAATCCTTCCAAATTCTGGAAATTAATTAAATCCTTGTCAGGTACACACATTGCTTTCAAGTCTTATCGAACACATCTGGGTTGACTTAAATGACAAAAATGATAAAGCTGCCATGGTCATTTAGTTTAATAAATATTTTATTTGTGCTGGGACAGTATTTGATAGCCCAAATGTAAATACAGTGCCTTGCGAAAGTATTCGGCCCCCTTGAACTTTGCGACCTTTTGCCACATTTCAGGCTTCAAACATAAAGATATAAAACTGTAATTTTTTTGTGAAGAATCAACAACAAGTGGGACACAATCATGAAGTGGAACGAAATTTATTGGATATTTCAAACTTTTTTAACAAATAAAAAACTGAAAAATTGGGCGTGCAAAATTATTCAGCCCCCTTAAGTTAATACTTTGTAGCACCACCTTTTGCTGCGATTACAGCTGTAAGTCGCTTGGGGTATGTCTCTAACAGTTTTGCACATCAAGAGACTGAAATTTTTGCCCATTCCTCCTTGCAAAACAGCTCAAGCTCAGTGAGGTTGGATGGAGAGCGTTTGTGGGGGGGGGGGGGGGGGTCTCTTTCTCATGCAGAAAGCTATTTACAGGGAAATGCGATGGATTAGCTGAAGCTCATCAATAGGGAGCGCCTGCTCACCCGGTGCTTTACAGACTGGCCACCAATCGAAGGGAATTTCAATATTTACCTACATCCTCGTTTTGTTAGTTGCAGTTAAGCAAACACGCAATTCGCTAATTCATGTTAGTGGATGAGTGAGACTTGTTTAAGTATTTTCCTTCCACGCTAATGATGATTCATTTGAATGACTTTAGGTGTGAATTTTGACTCACGGGCCATTGAATACAGATAAACAACAGGGTGGTTCGTTTTAACATCTATCCATGAGCCAATTTAACGATCATATTACAATTACATTAACTGGGCAGATAGTTTTGTTCTGACCTATTGTACATATGTTATTTGTCTGTCACACACACACACTCCTGCAAACAGAAGTATATAAAATGTATTCACACACTGTTGGAGTGAGATGAAATACACAAGGATTAAAGGCACCCAACACCACAAAGTCACATCACAAAATGCCAAAACAGTCAAAAGTGCATTCATCAGTCTACATGAATTAAATCGATCGTTTCATGTATTTGTTTTATACAGTGTGGCTCCGATGGCATTAGTACCCCTGCAGAGGCAGATCATGAGGAATTGTTTAGTGTTAGGCTGTACCGGAGATCTTTGAGTTCTGAAAATCATTTTCGAGCTGAGGTTAACAATTGTTTAGGTCCTTTTGATGAAGGAAAGCAAAGCAACAAATTACTGAAAAAGTCTAGTTTGTGTTGGCCGCTACAAAGTATTAACTTAAGGGGGCTGAATAATTTTGCACGCCCAATTTTTCAGTTTTTTATTTGTTAAAAACGTTTGAAATATCCAATAAATTTCGTTCCACTTCATGATTGTGTCCCACTTGTTGTTGATTCTTCACAAAAAATTACAGTTTTATATCTTTATGTTTGAAGCCTGAAATGTGGCAAAAGGTCGCAAAGTTCAAGGGGGCCGAATACTTTCGCAAGGCACTGTACATCTGTCCTGTGCACTGCCACTGCTGAAACTGATCTGGATCTGGATCTGCTTGATTTTAAACCTGTTTCAGTTGCTCAAAATTGTAAAACTCTTGAAAGTCATTGATCATAAAAAGGCTGTAGGTTCCGATAATCTGGATCCTTATCTCTTAAAGGTGGCGGCAGATATTATTGTCGAGCCCATTACCCATATTTTTAATTTGGGTTTTCTGTCCAATTCTATACCTAAAACCTGAAAAGCTGCTAATGTTCTCCACTGATTTAAAGGTGGAGATCCTGAATAATTGTCGCCTGATTTCCAGAATTTCATTTCTGGCATTCATAGTTAAAATAGTTTTGATTTGACAATAATATTTTAAGTGATTTTCAAACTGGATTTAGAACTGGTCACAGCACTATTATGGCTGCTATGGTTATTACAAATGATTTTATTGGTGTATTGGGCAGAAAACAACATTGCACTGCCTTATTTGTGCATTTGACTCAGTGAACCATGAACTGCTACTTAAACAACTTGGGAATGTTGGTGTCAGTCATAATTCTATTAAATGGATCTTGTAGATTGAACCCAGTGTGTTTATGTAGAGGGCTATATATCAAATTTTTTTGAGAAAACCAAAAGGTATTCATTCCCCAACGTTCCATTTTGGGACCAATTTTGTTTTCTATTTTTATCAATGATTTAAGCATCTCTGTGCTGATGACACTATTATTACAGATGACTCTGCTGAGTTTAAAACTTCATGGTCCTCTCAAAAGTGCATCCACAGTTGCTTGATAACTGCAGCATTTTCACATCTGATGAAAAATCTATTCAGTGTCCTCCTACAAGTACCTGGGGGCATGGATAGATCATAAGCTTCTATTCAATGTACATATTGCTAATTCAGTTAAGAAGTGCAAGGTTGGGATTTTTTTAAATTTTCTAAATCAATCTTATTTTACTTACAATGCTAAATATAAACTTGTGGAAACTACTTTTCTATTTGTGATTGATTATGATGATATGCATACAGCCTCCTCTATTTTTACAAAGCCTTAATTCAGAGTACCAGGTATCCTTGCATTTAATCACAAATGCAAAGTGTCTTACTGACTACTGCATTCTTTATGAATTAGTGGAATGGACATCACAGACCCTTCGTAGACAATGGCACTGGTCTATTTTTTTTTTTATCTAGGAAGCAATACTGGGTAAACTTCCAGTGTGTCTTTGCCCCTTTCTCTGTCTTAGCTCTGGTGGTTACCAGCTAGTTACTTTTTAATGTGCCTCATATTTTCACAGATCTGGGGAAAACAGCATTTTCCTATTATGT